AACTGCCTATGACTGCACAGTAAGAATAGTTTTCTTTCTTAATTATGTATTATTTATTAATATAAATATTGTTATTCATATTATTGATAGCATTACTTATTATTGTTGTTATTATTATTACTATTATTATCATTATTATTATAACTACATACTTATTATTCCCACCATTGTGGTTATTACTTATTTAGTTACTTTAGCAATTTTAATTAAACCATGACCCTTCCTGCATAATCCCAGGACAATATTATGCCAAACTCCATTTAAGAAATACCATATATTAACAAATATTTGCGCTTACATAAAAGCACATAACTGTAGAAACACAAGAAAAAACTCATCATATCTCAACAGTCTTCTTGTTAATTCGGCATCAATATAATACATGAATACAAACTTTTTGGCCGACTTTGTCGCATCAACTCGTTACCAGCCTCACTATTTCAGTGGGAGAAGACCGTGGCAATAGATGGAAAAAACAAGATTTATCATTAAAATACGTGGTTGTTAGTGGATCACGCGGACGCTGAATTAAACACAGGTGTCTCCCCTCATTGTACTGTAAACTACTCGGCAGTGTCAGTAATGTATGGGCCAGTGTCACGGGCCAGAGCAAGGCACAATCAAAATTGCTTTAGGAATTTTCTAGTTTGTTTCTTTCCTCCCTCGTGTAGACAGTAAATGTAACATAAACCCAGTTACCACAAGAGTTCTTCTTTCTTGTAATCACATTACTTTTTCCCATTATATGTAATCCTTTACCTTCTATTACTGGTTAAATTGTATCTCCTCTACTGAAACATTCTTGGATCCCAAATTACTGTGTGTGTGTGTGTGTGTGTGTGTGTGTGTGTGTGTGTGTCTATCTCTGTGTAAATGCCAGCAGCATCATTCAGGCATAAGGCCAGACTTTTACACTGACCTTTATACCCTCATCAACCTCTCTGTCTAAGTACACACGCACTCTGTCTGTCTCTCTTACACACATGCACACAGCCTGCCTGTGTGACAGCTGGAAAGCCTCTGTTAAACTGTTTTCACCTCAATTTAACCTGGAGGTAAATATCATACATTCCACTTACAGTACTTCCAGCCCTCCTATGTCCTTTCTCTCTGTCTCATTTCATTTCAAATCGGTTTCAATGCTATTCAGTTCAGGTGGCAATACAGTAAGTTACTCTCTGCTACAGCATTATGAAGCGCAGTAACAATAAAATGAAAAACCAAAAGCTAGAAAATGCATAAAGCTCTGGTGTGTAGGATATAGTGGCACCTAGAGGTGTAGTTGCACCTAGTTACTGTTAGGGTTAGGGAACAACTCCCTTGCTTCACCCTCCCATTCCGAGCATGAAGGAGAAACTACGGTGGCCGTGGAATGCAGCCCTTTCTAGAAGTGTTTGGTTTGTCACTTCAGGGCTACTGTAGAAACATGGCACTCCATGGAAGGTGACCTGTGGCATCTGTAGATATAAAAGGTTAATTCTAAGGTAACACAGACATAACAATTCCTATATTCAGGTGATTATACACTAATGAAAACATAGTTATTCATATTATATTTCAACCTTTGAACTGGATCTAAGTCAATGTTAATTGGGTTTTTTTTTTTTGTCTTAATCTTTTACAATTTGACTGAAATTGTTGTTTCTGACTGAACATAAATAGTTAAGATAATAAAGATTTTTAATTTGCCATTAACTCAAGGCCTGTAAACTTTGATTTTTACCAACATCTGTTCTATTACGGTCTGTCTCTTTTGGTAAGTAGTTTTCACCTCATAAAACTGGATGGAGACAACAAAAGGTGAAGACAAACCTGAAAAAAAAGACATTTGACAATTTTTAAATGCATTTCTTAAATGCTGGCAACACAGTCTTATGTTTTCATTGGTTCAATCCCTAAAACATAAAGCTGATATCATATGAAATCAAGAAATGTGTCACTGTAGTTATTGCGATAATTGTGTATTATTTTTATTGCAAATAAGAAAAAACCTTTTTAAGCCAACTTGTATGTATGTTGTATCATGGCATTAACAGAAATAAGAAATAGCCTGGTGATGGCAAATGTATATATCAAATAATGTCAGACTTTAGAGTGCAAGCATATGGCTATATCCTGAAGGCAGTATGTAACAGTGTAGTTCAGGTATGAATCAAAGTCAAAAGTATCAGTAGAAACACTATATGGTGCAGCCATGTTATCTTTCTGAAACACTGAGATTATGCATACACACTTTTGCTGACCTGTGGCAGCAGTTACATTATAATGGTAAATGCTGAAACACAGTGTAACAGTATCATGAGAAGACAAAAAATAAGTAAGAAATCTGACTCAAAATGTCCATTACACAGCATATTGGCCACCAATGTGGTCATACCAAACCAAGTAATACTCTAGCATCAATACTCCCTTATTGTATTGAAGGTTGTGTTTCTGGCTTATGAAATTAACTTTTAATTTGTAAGATAATGAAAGTCTTATTTTTTTCCCCAAATTTTTCAAACTCCCACACATACAACATTTCATGTCACTGACACATTGCCCTTGTTAACATGTCACCTGAAGTCCACTAGCTGTGTCAGTGTACATGAACGTATCAACAGTGAGTTGTGTGCAGTTTAATGGCATGATGCTAAAAGATTTCTGATTTTAAACTGTAATTATTTATTTGTAGCCACCGGTGTTTTTCATTTTCAATTTTCATTATACTAAGTCTGATATAGTGGAGATACGTATTATATGACACCTTATGAAATGTAAGCAAAATGTAAAAACAAGTCATTTTAAGCATTTGAACAAATTACCTTGTTTTTCCTGTCAGGGCTTGCCGGAAATCTTAAAGCACCCAAAGTTTATTTGCTTTAAATTAATTGGTTCAGTGAAAAGATGTAAATGGGAATGAGGAAACCGTGTGTTTCTGGTTCACTTGGTGTGTAAACCAGAAACACATGGTTCATTTGGTGTGTAAAGATGATATCACATGTCAGATCCGCACTTTAATGCATGCCACCCCTCTTTCTCCCCGTCTCTCCTGTCTCTGTCTAGTGAGTCAGCCAGATGATAATAAATGCCAACTGGCTGCAGGTTTCATGAGCCGCTTTGTAAGTAAGGAAAAACATATGGTGCAATCTGTCACTACGTGGTAACGATGAAAATAACATTTCCAGGTTTCATTTTGGATTTAGCATCAAAAGGGGGCCGTTAAAGTCTGGACTTTGAGCACCATAAAAGCTCAGAGTAAAGCCCGCTTAAGCTGTGACCTGGATAACAAATAAGCAGTCCTTAACTTCACTGCCCTTGCCAACACGACCATTGACAAGGGGCTAATGAAGGGGCATGTAAAGTGTCTGAATAAGGCACCATCATCGCCACCTTTATTAAACCAACTGTTTAAACTCCTCTACATCAATGGTTTTTTGGGAGTCCTGAGAATCCCAAAGGGCCCTTGATGGGAAATGCAGGAAAAGAAATAGTCTTTTCTTAATCAGATTGGATTCACTAGAAATTATCCCACTTGTAAGCATCAGCATTGTAATGACAAGTCCCACTCTCACTGCTATTATCTAGACAGTTTACATAAAATAAATAATAAATCGAATAAAAAGCTCATAGGGGCCAAAGTGGGACAATGTTTTATCAAATGAGGGCTCTAATTTGTGTCGGCTGTATTTTTGCCTCAGTGACAGGAAGATGTTTGAGAATGTCTGCACAAAGGGATCCAAATTGAATTTGGTCATGTTGTGTCATTTTAATTGTTAAATAACAGTCCCTTCATTTGCCTTCTAAAAAATAAAACCTGTTTACTCTCTATTGTCCCCCACTTGTCTCTGCTGCTCTCTGCTTCACTTTATCCATGACCTGCTTTATGAAAAAGCAATAAAGAAGCACTTAGTGTACTCTCTCTGTCTCTCTCTCTCTCACACACACACAAACACAGGCAAACACGTAGTGCCCGCAGCAGCTTTTCTGGGTTTGTTGTACATCAAAAATCCTTCAAACATTGATTGATGATATTGAAATGGAAAGTTACTGCGGGGTTTCTCAGAAGGATATAACGAAAAGATACACAAACACATGAGCACACACACACACACACACACACACACACACACACA